CTGGGGCCAGGCTGGGTCCCCCACCATGATCCTCACGGGCATGCCGGCCGCTGTTTCTGTATTGATGATCCACTTCTTTTTATGGCTGAGCCGTGTTCTATGGGTGGACCACAGTTCACTTAGCCTTTCACCCTTGAAGAGTCTCTGGCTTCTGTCCAGTCGGGGCTATTACAAATCAAGCTGCTGGGAACGTGGTGTCCAGGTGTTAATGTGAACATAAATTTTTATCTCTGCAACCGCAGGAGTGAATTGTGAGGTCATACATAGGGTGGTTGCCTGCTTGGCTTTTTAAGAAGCTACCCAACTTTTCTGGGGCAGCCGCACCACGCTCCTGCCCAGCAGCAGAGCATGAGTGGCCCCCCCGCCCCTGGGTCTTCCTTGCCACGGGGGCCGATGCTGGTTTTGTCTTAGCATTTTGATGAGTGTGCCGGGGCAGCGTGCTGCAGGTGCAGTGTGCGTTTCCTCGTGGCGACGGACGCTCGGCATCTTCTCACGCTCCTGTCTTCCATGGGTCTGCACCGACAAGCTCGCCGCCTCTTGCCCGTTTGCAGATGGAGTTGTTTTGAGTTTGACAGTGGACGTGCTTCTGTAGTCAGGCCTTCTTGTCGGGTGTGTGGGTGTTAGCAACCTTTCACCATCTGACAAACACCTGGAAACAGCTGAAGGAGGAAAGGTTGGCTTTGGTTCGTGGTTTCAGGGTCTGTGGTTGGCTGCCTCCGTTGGTGCCTGGGGCACCTCATCATGGCGGAAGGAGGGCGGGTGGAGGGCAGAGCCACTCACTCCGTGGTGCTGGGAGCAGCTCTCATTCAGCTACGGATCTTCCGGAGCTAATGAATGAGGCCGAGCCTTCAGGAGCCACTCACTCCAAACCCTGCTTCACTGGGGACCAAGGCTTCGACCTGTCTTGGGGGGTCACTTCACATCCAAACCGTAACAGGTGGTTTGAAATGTTTCCTTCCATATCCATAGCAGACTGTAGCTTGCCTTTTCATCCTCTTAACCACCTGTCTCAGAATGAAAATGGGTGTTCTGATGAAGTCCAGTTTATCAACGTTTCCTTTTACGGCTGGTGCTTTTGGTATCACACCTAGGAACCTGCCTCTCGCAATATTCTAAAGATTTTCTCCTGTTCATGTCCCTGAATGTTTTATCATGGTTTTCTGTTTTGCAGCCCTGGTCCATTGCACTGATTTTTATGTAAAACTGTGAAGTTTCTGCCTGCGGATGTCTGTTCCTCCAGCCCCTTTGGTTTGGACGGCTGTCCCTCCTTCCTGGGAGTGCCTGTCACCTTACTAACCAGTCAGTCCTGTGTGATGCCATTCAGGGCTCTCTGCTGTCTTCTGTTCTCCTTGTGTCTGTCCGTCCGCCTCCTTCCTCCACTACTGCACAGTCTTGACCACTTTACCCTAAAGAAGTCTTGAAATCAAATGGACCGATGCCCCCACTTTATCTTCTCTTTCACAGTCGTTCCAGTTCTTCTGTCTTTCTACGTAAATGTTGGAATAATCTTGTCTATTTCTGCAAAAAGAATCTTGCCAAGATCTTGGTAGGAATTTTGTTAAAGCTGTATTGAGTCAGCATCTGTGCCGTGGGGTCTCCCAGCCGTTAACGGACCAGGCCTTGTGTGTGTGTGACTTCTTTGATTTCTTCTCTTGCGCTTTGTTGGATTCACACCTCAGCCCTGTCTTCCTTTTGGGGGACTATAAATGATATTGCATGTTTTTTCTCAGGGTCTGCATGGTCCTTGCTAGTATGTAAGTACAGTGGGACTTGTGTACCTTTGATCCTGGGACCTTGCTGACCTCACTTGCTGGTCCTCAGAGGGTTTGGCAGAGATTCCTTGGCATGTGCTGTACAGACGGTCATGTGCTTGGCACACAGGGGCAGCGTTTCTTCTTCTCTCTGGCTCATGAGTTTTGTTTTTGAGTCTTGCCTGATTGCTCTGGTGGACCCCCCAGCACTGTGTGGAACAATGGTGGGGTGGGCCCTGGGCCCTGCCACCCTCAGAGGCAGGCCGCCTGCCCCACCCCACGTCACGCCAGCTGGGTGGGGTGTGGTTGGCGCCTCTTTACCAACTTAAGGAAGTCCCTCTCCGACCCTAGTTCTCTGAGAGTCATAACCATGGGTGGAACGTGGTGGAAGTCGGTTTATGAGTTAACTGGTGTCACTGTGCCTTTCTGTGGTGACACACTCACTGGTGTTCCAACGCTGAGCCAGGCTTGCACACCTGCACTGATTGCCCCTGAGCCTGCATGGTGCTTTTGAAGTGCTGAATTGTGTTTTCTAAAATGTCACCATTTTTGTCGTTGTGTCCTTATGTCCTTGTGTCCGTGTGTCCACGGAGGAATTGGTTTGAAGTCGTCCTTTCGCTGTTGTCGGTCTTTGTGGATTTGGAATCAGGCTAATACTAGCTTCATAAGATGAATCTGGAAGTGTTCCCTCCTTTTTTTTTTTTTTTCCTGGAACAGATTGTTTAGAATTGTGTTAATTCTTTAAACATTTGGTAGAATTCACCAGTGAAATCTCTGGGCCTGGGAATTTCTTTTTTAGGAGCTTTTTAATTATGAATCCGATTCCATTAATAGTTGCAGGCTGCTCAGATTACCTTTCTTCTTGGCTAAGTTGTACTTGTGCCTTTTGGGGAGCCGGCCCACTCTGTCTGTGGAGGTTTGTGTGCTCCCTTACAGTCCTCACCGTGTCGGGGTCGGCCGTGATGCCCCTTTCGTCCCTCGCTGTCTGACTTGTGAGGATTTTGTCGATTTGTTGATCTTCCCAGTGAACCCAGGCTTTGGCTCATGGCCGTGAGCTTCACGTGCTCTTCTCTCTGTGGGTTCTCAGGGGTCTTGGAGTGCCGGGTGGAGATTTCCCGTGCTCTCAGGTCCCCTCCCAGCACTGCTCCGGTGTGTCCCGCGGCAAAGGCTTGATGGTTGTGTTCCCCTGAGACTTCCTCTTTGACCCATGGATCATTTAGAGTGTGTTTAGTTTCTGTTTGGAGACTGTCCTCTTATCTTAATGCTCCTGGGGTCAGAGAGTCCACTCTGAACGGTTTCGGTTCTTTTAAGTTTGTGGAGCTTGTCCTCACGGCCTGGATCCTGGCCCACCCTGGCATGTGCCCAACAGACACCTGACAAGAACGGTGGCTGGGGAGGGTCCATGAATGCCCGTCGCTGGATGGACTTCCTAGTCTATCTTGACTTGGAGGTGGTTGATCTTAACATCTGTGACACGTTGCTCTTCCTGTAATAAGTGATACAAATCCATGCTCAGCTCACCCCGGGGGCGGTGGATCTCTATGTGATCCTTGCTGAGGTCGCCACTCTTCTTCTCTGGCAGGTGTGGGACTTTTTGAAGGCCAAGTCCTTGGACCGGCCAGCAGCCCAACCTGTGGCTCTAGAAGTGTTTCCTGAATGGGGTTTTTACTCGTGTAATTTCAAGAGACTTTTTCCTCTTCTCTTTTAGTCACGGAATGCTAAATCTGGAGAGACCCGGGCTATCTCACCCACCCACGTATTGGGCACCCATTCTGGGGTTGGGAGACACACATGGAAGTAAAGATCTTGATACTTAGAGGTCTGGGATGCCCAGAGGGCACAACCATGCAGGCCAGGGAGCATGTGGAGAGAGGGCCAGCAGCTTCACTGGGTCCTGGCACTATCCAAACAGGTTTCCCGAGGGGCGTTTGCACTGTGAGTATAAACTCAGTGCCAGGAGGTCACACTGTAACTGAGAGACAGTCACTGCGACATAGGTCTGCACAGTCCTCTCAGGGTGTGGGATCATACAACTGAGAGTCTACTGTAGGCAGGTGAAGCAATGGAGTCTCAAGAGGTGAATTTAAGTTGATTGGTTTAAATTTTTTTCTTTTTGTGAAATTAACATGTTCATTGTACAAAATGTAGAAGGTATAGGGAAGCAAAAATAAGAATGAACTTTGTAACAACTCCTACAACCCAAGGGTAACCACTGTTGTTACTTTGGAATGTATCCTCCCCAGTATATTTTGAAAAATAGGATCATTCTCTATTACCACGTTAATTTTTAAGACTCCAATAATAGGAACATTTTCCAAGATCTTCCCTTCCATTCATGTCATGATTACACAATCCCATTTGATGGACATATAAGTCCTTTAGGTTTTCACTGTTTAAATAACATTGGGATGTGGACATTCATGATTACTTCCTACATATGAGACACTGGGTCACAGCATAGGAACCCCATTGCCAAATTGGGGTATTAGGTCTTGTTCGTTTGGAGTGGGTTTGTTTTCTCTTGTTTTGTTTACATGGAGAGTTAAGCATCAAGCCAACAAAGGAGTTTACCTGGACTCAGGACTGAGCCCCGGAGGCTGTTAGTGCTCAGGGTACACAGGAATGGCACACTTGGACCAGGAAGAGACCTCTCCCTGCCTGAGAACCCAGAGTTGCTGAAAAGAACAGTCCTGTGGGCACCTAGTCCTGGCCATGAGTCTCCAGCATGGCACTGGTCAAGAAACAGGAAAAGAGGCAGGTTACTGGCATCCCGGGACCTGAGCCCTGTAAAACCAGCCACCCAGCCCAGTTTTACAGACCGGGCGGCCGGGGGACAAATCACTCCACCCTCCTACTTCCTCTCTGCAGGCCGGCCAGGAGAACACCACGCTTTACACTTGGGCTTGCATTTGAACTTGCTTCGTCAGAGTGATTGCCCCCATAAATGGGCCTGGGCACTCAGGAAAGCCTCCCGTTACAGAGCCCCATGGTGCCTGCCTCTGTGGCTGGTGCTGACACCTGGAGACAGCCTGGACTCCACCGAGGACCAGTGGGAGCAGGCTGGGCCTGGGGCAGTCCAGGAGGAAGGGGATCCCCAGGCCCAGAGAGGCCTGCCTGGGGTGCTGGCCGGGAGGCCCCGCGTCTCAGCAGCTCACCCGGCAGCCCCTGGCCACAGTGCCAGGCCTGGCCCGTGGTGACTTCCAGCTCCCTGTGCCCGTGTTCCATCTGCCTTTCTTCTTTGGTTTTCAGAGAGAGAAGAGCTAACCCAGAGCGTGCTGGCCCAGGTGGCAGAGCAGTTCTCCAGGTGCACAGCCCTCCACACACGCGCTGTCCCGACGGGCCGTCTGCTTCCGTGGCACAGGAGGCCCTTGTCTGAGGCTGGCCTAGGCCAGCAGGACTCCCTCTGTGACTTCTGTCCCTAAGCAGCTTGGCACACCCCGGGAATGCTCACCTTATCCCAAAGACCAGGTCCCACGGTCACTTCTAGAATGTGAGCTCCAACTGCAGAGAATGTTCTCGACTGGTTCTTCTGGACTAGAAGACAGTCTGTACTTTTTTTTTTTAAAGCACCATTTTAAAAATGAGCTTCCTCACTGAGGTCCTCCTAGAGGGGGCTTCATCTTCATCCTGAGCTGCCCACTAATTCTAAGTGGGCGTTTAGTTTCTCAGAGTGATTTCTCTGCAGTGTCTTACTATCCCAGAGTGATTAAAATGGGGGAAAGGACAGACGAGCGGTGTATTTTAAGGCCCATGAATCATTGAACTGACTGGTCAGGGCCTCCCGAGGTTACACCAGTCCCCTGAAGGTGACTGTTCCCAGTGGGTGGGGTGCTTGGTGACCTGAGGACCTTGTAAACTTGTGTTCACTGCCCAGGTCAGAGGAAGTCAGTCCACCACCTGGGGACATTGAGTTCCTTAAAAGCATCTCTGAGTGTCTTGGTCTCCACCCCACACCAGCCACCTGGAGGCCTCGCCCCTGACAGGGATCATAGAGTTTGCTGGGCCACGTTTAGCTCTGAGGATTTTATGAGTTACGTTTTGTACTTTTCTCCATTTTATTTCTAGAGCATTTAAGATCAATGAACTGAAAGCTGAAGTTGCAGACCACCTGGCGGTACTGGAGAAACGCGTGGAATGTGAGTGGGGTTGTTTCTCTTCTGCTTCTGCCTTCTGACTACCCTTAGAGCTAACCACTTGGACGGGGTGAAGTTAGTGCCACTGGTAAGCGAGGCTGTTTTCCTTATGAAATGCTTGGGGCTCCTGTGACCTCACCAGGGCTGGAAGGGTGAGCCATCTGAGCATGTCAGTCCTGCTTTAAAGCACCGCGGCACAGGACACAGGCCTTGTGCGCACAGAGCAGAGGGAAGACACCTCACACTCGGCCCCGGAGCCTCTGCTTCAGGCCTTGCCTGTGGCTTCAGCAGAATGAGGACATTCTCGGCACACCCACCCGCACGCTCTGGTTTTTTGGAATAGGTCTACAAAGTTGTTATCTCTTGGTTTCCAATTATCACAAAAGCAAAGCAGAAAAGCAAAGTGAGCAAAGGAGAGTTGATTCCAGTCTTGACTCAGTTACCGGAACTCCACATTCTGGGAGGAAGACAGCTTCGAGTCGCCCACGTCTCGCACCCTCGGCAACAATGGCAGGATCGGGGCTTGACTTCCACCCGCCTGACGTTCCGCATCCGGCTCGCAGCCCAGCACGGGAGGTGCTTTGTCAGTGTCCCGGCGGAGGTTAATGGTTAATGGGCAACTTATTTATTAACAGGATCAAGCGAACAATATCCAAACAAGAGGCCATTAGGGGCCTGGCTTGCTCCCCAAAACATCTGGCAGATCTGTGCTTGTAAGATTGACAGAATGTCACTTTTCCTATCGTGTTTGAATTGCTTACAATTTTAAAAAAATGAAAAAATCAGCACTACACCAGGACTGATTCATCTAAACAAGTTGAATCATGAGCTCCATGGACATGTGCAAACTTTTCAAAGAAAATGTGTTGGCGTCTTAAAACTCACCTGCTCATTGGACCTTCGGTTTTCTTTAACCCGTGGAGGATGAGGATGCCACAAGGGTTAGGTGCGGATCAACAGGACTGGGACCAGGGCAGGGAGTCCGGGCCAGGCTGCTCTCAACTCCTGCCCCTGCCTGATGGGGCGAGCACTAGCTGAAGAGGAACAGCCCCAGGAGGGTTCCCATACCCAGGGCAGAGACACGACGGGCTGCTTCAAGCAGAGCACGACTCTTCCGGAAGAACTCCAGGCAGCCCCTGCCGGCCTGGAGGCTGGGCACAGGGCTGCAGGCTGTGCTGTGGAACAGCACTGATGCTCTCGGTGCCAGCGCGGCCATTCCCAAGCCCAGGCACTGCACCCTCGCCCTGGACCCCGGGTCTCCAGGGTCCCGACGGCCTCCCCTGCAGACATCAGGTTGCTTCTTCACATCACCAAGCACAGACTCAGAGCCTGCAGAGCTGGACCCTGTGCCCACCTCAACTGCAGGGGAAGCCAGAGAACCACTGTGTTCACGTCCTGGGGCCACCTGACAAAGTTCCACGAAGTAGGGGCTGAACGACAGAAATGCCTTCTCTCACGATGCTGCAGGCCCCAAGTTCAAAGTTAAGGTGTCAACAGGGTGGGCTCCTCAGGGTCCCTGAGGGAGACCGTGTCCCGGCCTCTCCCTGGCATTCCCTGGCTGGGATGCTCGTCACTGCCATTGGCCTCTGTCTTCACCTGACATCCTCCCTGTGTCCCAAATCTCCCTCAGACACTGGACCTCTGGATCCACAATGGTCTCACCTCAGTATCTCTAACTGGTTACTTCTGTCCAGGACCTTTGCCCAAACAAGGTCATGTTCGCAGGTTCCAGGGGCCTGGTACAACCTCCGCAGTGAGCCTCGGGCATGTCCAGCTTCACAGCGCGAGGCCGGCTCAGCCTCCCACCAGCCCCATTGAGCAGGGACTCTCAGGAAGGGCTTTCAGCCAAGAGCACAGGGAAGGTTTGCCACCGAGTCACCACCCACACCTGCAGGTGCACAGAGCCAGTCTTGGCTCGGCCTGTACCTGCCCCACAGCGGGCGCCCTGCTTCTCTGCTCCTCAGCACCATCGCCCCTTCCCCGCCTCCTGTCTTCCCCCACCCCGCGTGGAAGCTCCAGCCCCTGCTCCCACTCCTCCTGGCATCTCCCCATCCTCCTGGCTCCTCGCCCTCCTCCGCCATGCAGGTGAACCCCGGAAGAGCCCTGATCTCGCAGGTTCTCCGCCCAGAGGACCCCACCTGGCTCTGGGCTCACCTTCCCCTGGTGCATCTGGCTGGCCAGTCCCAGTCTCCTGGCCTGTCCTCCAGTGGATGTGGCCAGGGATGCCCACTGGTGCTGAGCCCTGGGGAGTGTGAGCCCCAGAGGGAAGGCCCAGAGACACAGGCCTGAACCCAGAGATGAGCATAGGCCCACATCAGGAAGGGAGAGGGAGGTCCTTTGGAGAAGGGGCCTGCAGCTGACCTCCCATGCTGGCCACGAGGGAGCTGCTCCATCCAGTCAGTCCTGACCCTGCACAGCTGCTAGGAGCCAGCTGGCCTGAGCTGCCGGACCAGGAAGGCCACTGGCATGCTGCTCCATGTAGACCCTCTCATGTGACTCTCTCTCTCTCACACACACACACACACACACACACACGCACGCACTCAAGTGTGCTATGCACATGGCTCTGTCAGCCTGCAGGGCGGCCCTCTGCTTCTCAGTCAGGGGGCATCTGCTGGAGTCCACGGCCCAGGACCTGTTCTAGTGGAATCTCCTGCTTACTCTTCGACCTTCTTGAACACAGAATCTTCTGAATCAAATAGCAATTTCTCCTCATTGACCTTACAGCTTTTCTCCTTGTGTGTGTGAATGTCTAGGCTTCTTCAGGGAGTCAGGGCTTCTCTGAGCTCAATGATGAATTCATAGACAAGCACTCGCAGGCTGTGGTGCGCTGGGCTCAGCATGGCCCGCCCTGCCCCCCTACCTACTGGTGCCTGGGCTTGAACCAAAACCTAAACCTAGCTTGTGCCACTGTCCGAGCTGACCCCTGGGGCAAAATCCATGCAGATCACCAGAAGACTCCTGCTTTTCTCTGTCGTGCGGGAAGTACTTCAGGCAGATCTGGGGACAGTGCTGAAGGGCTCTGCTCAAACCCCTTCTCGAACAGCCCCGTTAGCTCTGTGTCCGCCAGGCCCCCACCAGCCTCTCGCCCACAGCCAGGGGGAGGAGGAAGAGCAGCAGAGCCTCACTGCCTGCTCAGACCTTGTACGCACCAAAGCCCTTCCCCGAGGCAGCATCTCTCTTAGGATATATCTAAAAAGAGCAGATAATTTAAAAAAACAAAACAGTGCTAATGATTAAAAATAAAATTCGGGAGGCAGGGACTTGCAGAAGGCCCCAGAAACCCTTCCGAAGTCTGAGAAGACAGCCCAAGGTTCCAGACCTGCTAAGCCTGCTGGTCAGCCTGTCTGAGGGCCCAGGCCAGCCAGGGGACATGATGGGCCAGTTCCGGGCTGGACTCCAGGGCCCTGTGAGCGCTGGAAGGGGAGCTTCTACTTTTGGGATGCTTGGTCTCTGCAGACCTGCACGAGGAACCGATGGACAGTATTTGTGTCTGGCCTCGACTCCAGTGTCCTCCTGCCACTGCCTGTGCATCCCCTTCCTGGCCCGGCTCCTGGAGCTGAAATGAGCCATGGAGGGGAGCTGCGGACTCTCCCGGAGGGAGCCTGGTGTTCAGACGATGGTATTTAATCCGAGCAACCCTGGACCTCCTGTGCCAGACACGTGATGAATTCGTAAACAAGCGCTCGCGGGCTGCGGTGCGCTGGGCTACCCTGTTTGGCTGCATCAGGCCTGTCTCTCCCCTAGATCTACTAACTTTCCAGAACTTTCTGCCTTTCAAGTGTTGGCAAGATGGAGCTGCTGCTTGCTGCCAATGCTGATCTACTGTTGGTCCTGCCAGTGTCCTCATGGCGAGCCCACAGGCAGGCAGGGGGGGACACTGAGGTCTGTAAGGCCCCGGGAGGCCACCTCATCTCAGCAGAGGACCGTGACATTCAGCAACTTCTTAAGGGGCCCACAAGGCAGAAAGCAGGAGGAATCCCTCCAAAGGGTGGTGTGGCTGTCCAGCCTCTAGTGCCCCTGTGGCCACCGCCCTGGCTCCATGCATGGCCTCAACCTGAGTGTCTGTCCCCAGTCTGCCCACCGTGGTGGTATAGAGGGGGGACAGAAGCTTCCCTGGCCCGGGAGCCCGTCACCAGGACCAGAGCTGAGCTCGCCCCTTTGGGCAGAAGAATCGGGTTCCTGAGTGCGGCCAGGCTGCCTCTGGACCCAGGTGGCCCGGTGGGAGGGTCACCAGGAAGCCCCTCCCTTTGCCCTTCCTTCAGACACTGTTCCTGTTTTACCTTTAGCGGTTATTCAGGGCCGAGCTTGATGGGGAGCAGGATAGCCTGGCGGCGGAGGTGGGATTACAAAGTGACAAAGCTGACCTCTCCTTCCTCCAGGCCCACTCTGCCCGGGAAGCCTCCTGCAGGCCACGCGGGGAGCATGGGGGCAGTGGGCTGGGAGCGCCCAGACCCAGCTCTGCTAACCCTTAGCTGGGCCTCTTGGTGGCTGTCTGGGTGAGGTCAAGGTTTTCTCCTGGTTAACTGCTCTGGGAGCTTAAAGAGAAGCTTTTATCTTAATGAGGTCTCAGTGCTTGCCGAGGAAGCGTGGCCTCGCTGCATTTCAGTGCCCAGGGCCACTGTCCCCGTTCCTTCTTTGGGGGATAAAAGACTCTCATACCCTCAGCTGGCACTGGGCAGTGAAGAGGAGCGGACGTGGGCAAGGGTGGGGACATGGGGCGGGGGTGGGGCTGCCACGCTGTAGATACAGCACAGACAGACGTGGCTCCAGCTTGCCGGGAACATGCCTGGGGTGACAGAGTCCCTGTGGCCAAGCCGGGCAGGTGGGGCCATCCTACTGTCAGCAGAGTGGGCCAGAGCGGGAGCCTCTGCCAAGAGCCCATCCTCCCCCGGGCCCCTGTGTTACCAGGTCCTCCCAGTCTCTCCGCGGTAACCCCCTGCTGTGTCTCTTTGTCACTAGTGGAAGGACTGAAAGTGTTGGAGATCGAGAAATGCAAGAGTGACATCAAAAAGATGAGGGAAGAACTGGCGGCCAGAAACAGCAGGTAAGGTCCGCGCTGAGGGCGCTGCAGGCCGCCCGCCTGGGCCTGGGCAGAGCCTGTCTGGGGCGGTGGACTTGGTGTCCCCAGAAGAAGGGCTCGTGTGTCTCGCTCCAGCTCCGGGTTTGGCCACACGGGCTGGAGGGAGCCCCACTCTCCTGGGACCTACTGTTGGAGCCCGAGGCTTTCCTACCATAAAGGGTGTTCATGGCTGATAGAGGCGGGAAGGTGACTTCGCGTAAGAGGACCCTCCTGCAGACCCAGTGTGCACAGGAGTCCACTTGGCTTGAAAGGTGTGGACGCCGATTTTTAAAGAAAAAGAACAATAAGAATGCACAGATATTTGGCTTACCAGGCACAACATCTAGGTGCCCCCATCCTCATCCCCAGGCCAGGGGACATCCCCACAACACAGGCATCAGGGAACAATATGGGGAGAGCACCAGCCATCACGGACAGAGGGACACTGGGGGGACCAGTGAACCGTAGTTCAGACAAAACATGCCTGAGGTTCATCAGTGCCTCCTCAAAAGTCTATCAGAAGGACCCTCCTCCAAAGCTGTGGTCACCGTAAGCATGGGCCAGCCACGCACGGCCTGAGGACAGAGCCACACGGTAACAATGTGACAATGACGGGCAAGCACGTGCCCGAGCCCACACAGCACTAAGGCTCTGGCTGATCCACTGAGGGACCCCTTCACCTCCCACGTGGTCTCCACCCAGGACGCTGAGCCACTGAGGAATAGCTGAAGGCCACACTGACTATGACCACGGCTTTGGCAGAGGGTCCTTCAGATGGACTTCTGAGTAACTGCTGTGGGGCCTCACAGGGACCAGTGAGCGGGGGAGCAGCCCTGGGCAAAGGCACACTTTTTCTCAGGGCCTCGTGACGTGTTGAGAACCGTGCCCGAGCATAGGGGGCCGAGGGCCACCCACTCAGTGAGGAGGGCAGACCTGCAACAGGTGCAGGAGACCTGTCACGGCCAGCACCTGGCCTCTTGGGGAGGACGCCGAGCAGCTCACCTCCTGAATCACACCCACCACGGTCACCATACTGACCTGGTGACTGATTGGCCTTGGGAATGTCTCGTGCCGTTTGATTTGGAGAATGTCAAGGTAAAGGAGTTTGTGACCACAGGAAATACGAGTTAGCGGTTTGTCTCTGTTGTCCCCATGCTAGAGGCTCCTCAGGGATGGGAGTCCCTCCTGGTGGCCTTGGGAAGAGACTGGACTTGCTCAGCGCAGAGCTGGGCCGGCGAGGCTAGGACCCGGCTGGGCAGTCTGAGGCCCAAGGCACAACCCAGCCTTGGCATCACCCATTTCCCCTGGCCCAGGTGAGGGCAGGTGGCCTTGGACAGGGATCATGGGTTGGCAGGTCTCCTCGAGAGCCCAGCCAACAGCCTCAGGGCAGTCGGGCTGCAGCAGGTGCCTGGGCTCCTTCAGCTCCTCCGCGCTCTGCAGGAAGTGCATTCTTAGAGCTCCCAGCGCCACAGCCTGAGGGGGCGCCTTCCCAGGGCCTGTGAGCCTTCTAGGCACAGAGTCCTCAACTCTCCGTTCCGGCACGTCCCAAGTAGGTGAGGCAGATACGGGGACTCCAATCCGGAACCAGAGGGGGTCAAACCCATTAGGAAAACAAACCCAGGGCCCAGTCCACCTGGTGCTGGAGCCCACAGCCCCTGGGGTACCCCCCAAAGCAGCCCCTCCCTGCTCTCTAGAATAGCGGGCTCAGAGCAGGAGCCATGAGCGGTGGAGGGAAGGGCCCATGTAATCATGAGTGAGTCTTGTAGCAGCTCCGGCCCTGGGTGCTGGGCCCTTGGAGCGCGGCTTCACCTTCCTGGTCTGCAGGGAGAGGCTGTGTCCTTGCTGAGCAGCCCTTCCTCGTGAGCCCACACAGCACTAAGCTCTGGGCTGATCCACTGAGGGTCCCCTTCAGTGGATGTCGGCCCAGCCCAGGGCCAAGGTTTTGCTTTATGGGGACACAGAGGGGAGAACAAGGGCACCACGAGGGGCAGAGCCCACCCGACGCCCACAGGGTGGCAGATGCGCCTGACAGGCTGACCTACGTGCACCCACACACAAGCACATCCCACAGGGCCCCAAGCCTGGAGCCTGGAGCCAGAGCAGAGCCCGCCCGGGGACAGTGGGGCTCTGCATGGTCCCCTGGCACCCCTGAGCAGGCTGCCCACTCTGAGCTCCCTGGGTTTCTCGAGGTTGTTTCAAGAGGACAGAGGTTCAGAGGGTTCTCTGGCCGCAGCTGCCCTGGCTCCAACGCCGCTCAGGCAGAGAGCCGGCGGGAGAGGGCTGGAGACCTGGGATCGCTGCTTTCACCCCAAAACAAAGGCCTTGACCACTGGACTGAGCCCCAGGGGAGGGGAGGATGGGACGGCAGGGAAATGAAAGCAGATAAGCTCCAAGTGGAATGAAATGGAAAGGCACCCTGCCAGCTGCCCCACGTGTTCCCGTGGCAACGGGGCTCAAAGAGGGCTTCTGGCCCCGGATCGGCTGGCGCCCAGCAGTCTCTCTGCTCCCACGGCTGCCGTTGCCAGGAGGGAGCCAGGTTCTGGCAGTCAAGCCATCCTGCCTGCTGGGGGCCTGCAGGACCCTCCTGGGGACGCAAGATCTTGAGGAAGCATGGGTTGGAAAGGCAAAAGGGGGCAGCAGTGCACCCCAGTTTTCCCACTGCACAGGTCAGTCTCCCCTGCTCAGAACGAATGAATAGGTTTCCTGTGTACAGGGCAACGTGGAAGCGCTCTGATTGGCACGTTTGGTCCTTTTGTTATTGTTTTGCTAGGTCCAGATTAGAATCCGCTCTGTACATCAGCGTGCTGTAGCAGCTCTGATGATTTGTCAAGTGTGGACTCTGAGCGAGGCCCAGCAGCTGGCCAAGACAATAACATAGACAGCTCTGTTTCACAAATGAAGAGGTTTGTTATTCTGAGCTTGAAAAGAGCTTAGGCTCTTGGCAAAGCCCCAGACTACCCGGACGGGGACTGCGGTGGTCACCAGTAGCCACAGCAGCCAGCAAATGCCCCCAGCAGCCAGCAAATGCCCCCAGCTTAAATCTGGATGTGAAGCTTCCCAGGAGTTTCCATGTATATTTATCCAGTTTTGAAAAACAACTAAAATGTACTGTTTCATGATATTTTTTCACTCATTATGAACGATTAATGGATCAATTTTATCCAACATGCAGCTCATGGATGTTTCTAGAAGGCCATGACCCAGCACTTTGTTAACCACCAAACGTGCCCTGCCCTGGCCTCCCTACTGTGGGTGGCTTTCACTTTCCCCTCACCTGAGCCTCCCTTGCTTCATATCATAGCCACAATCACCTTGATAATGACGTAGCCGTCCTCCAATTGGATGAGCCAAAGTGGCTTGAATCATTTCCCACTGGAGGCCTTGAGGTGGCCCCTGGGGTGTTCTGCGTTGTAACAGCAGACAACACTGCACGAATCTCTTTGTGCACGGAGCTATTTACTCGTGTCCAATTCTTTCTTCTCAAGATCAATCTCCCTAAGCAGAAGTACAGACTTACAGGCTGTGCATTCCTCTGTAGCTCTTACTGCACAGGATAAATGGCTTTTCCAGAAGATAGAGCTTTGTTTACTGATGTACTGGCCCCTGCACACCGCAGGGTGACTCCAGGCTGCCCAGGGGTCCCACCTCTGCAGCCCTCCTCTGGACGAGTGGGGAGCATGCTCACTTCTAAGGTGGTTGAGTTCCAACCCTGATTCCTGGTCTGCCCAGCCCCCCGGCCAGGGCCGCCAGAGCTCCTGGGGCCACCTCTACAGGAGCCCCGGGGACAGCCCTGCAGGCCAGCACACTCCAAAACATACCTAGCTCATTTCCTTCTCATGTTGAGTGGGGAAGAAAAACTAAGAAATTTCAGCCTTCAACACTGTATGCAGGGGAAACTGCTCTGGGGCCTGGACTGGCAGCAGTTGCTGCAGACACACTCGGAGGACCGCACAAGTGCTTCTCGTCCACTGGAAAATGAGTCCAGCTCGTGAAGCCACAGGGACTAAGCCCCTGACGTCAGGTGGAAGTAGCAAGTTGCCGCACAGTGAATTTGGTCCAGTTCCCTCTTTGTTCAGAGGTACAAGTGGCTCTCCATGGGGTCCATGCCCAGGTGTGCTCTGCAAGGACACACCAAACTGCTCACAGACGGGACCCCCCGGGAGTGGGCGCAGGGGAAGGAGCGAGTCATTGAGGACGTGGGGGTGTTTCCTCTGCACTCCTGTGTTGTCTGGACTTGTTAAAATAAGGAAGTTCTGCCTATATCATTAAAACGAAGAGGAACTTTTAGGGCTGGGGAGGGAGCCCAGTGGTAGAGGAGCTGCCTCGCATGTGAGGCCCTGGGTTTGATGCCCAGCACTGGAGGGCAGAGGAGTGTCACCATGGACAGAAGGTGTGACTTCTGCAGTCCAGGGGAGAGATGAAGAATGTCCATGCACTTCTGCCCTTGTCAATGCTCTATTCACTTAAATCACTTAATACAATTTCACTCTATAGGTTCTTATGGAATGACAGTCCTTAACTCTGGGCATGGCAATAGACATAAACAATTCACAGCAAACAATTCTGGATTAATTCCAAGCACTGCAAACACTCTTCATCATGACAGGCTCATGACAGGCATTCCCTCTGCATGCAAAGCTCAAGTGTCAGATCAGAAGTCTCAAGTCTTAGGCTTCAAGTCCAGCAGATGCACACTCACTCAGACCACGGTGATCAGGTCAGGAACCAAGGCAGGCTTCTCCTGGGATAGAGCTCATGGCTGCTGAGGAGGTGGTCACAGGAAGAAGTTCCTTTCTCACCAGAGTCCAGAGGCTGCTGTAGAGTTTGAGGGTGGTGAGAACAATGCCGAGGATCAGGCACATGGGAAGAGTTGGGATGTCAGTCTTGTGTACGTGGGTGTCGGCTGGCTGAATGTCTGCTCATTTGCTCCAATATTTATACTAAATTTTGGGGCTACTGACCCCCTTTCAACCCCTATCAGCTGCCACCAGGTTTGTCAGTGACGTCATTTGCCCTGGGTTAAAGCATCTGGTCTGGTGGTTCCCACCCTGATTTTCTTGCCTTTCCCCCTTATCGAGGTGAGGAAAACGTAACAGAGACTTCACTCTGAGCTTGTCAGGGTGGGGGAAGTGACCTATTGGTGCCTGAGGGCCACACTGGAGGGCTCTGTGGGTGTGCCTGGTGAGACTGCAGGTTTCAAACTGGAGTTTTAAGATGGAGTTGCTTAGGCTCAGGCCTCAGGCCATCCTTACAAGGGGGTGGGTGGAGGAGGAGATTTAGAAGCTTGTCTAAAGCTGGAAAGAGACTCCTCACCTGACTCTGGTGTTTTCCAAGAGCCGGTATGACAGCCCAGGTCCAGCCAAGGTCCACCAGCCCCGTGCCCCTGCCTTCAGGACTCCACTGCAATGAGACCAAGTGTCTGGGGCCTGGGGGCTGGCTTTGGGGTTCCGTTTGCTCTTGCTCTGATGGGGTGCCGCTGCCCTGCACAGGTGAGCCCCAGGCCTGAGGCAGTGCTGCCACTGACGTCCACCTTTTCTCCTCAGGACAAGCTGTCCCTGTAAGTATAGCTTTTTGGATAACAACAAGAAGTTGGCTCCTCGAAGAGATGTCCCCACCTATCCCAAGGTGAGCTGGAAGTCCAGCCTGGGGAAGGCGGCAGCTCTGTGTGCAAACCCCCCCCCCCCGGGCCCAGGAGCCCCATGGACATTGATAAAAACAGGTCCCTGGCTGCTCAAGGGTGGGTCACTCTCTGGCAGAAGGTTTTTCTCTTTGATGTCTGTTTGGCAGAAGTGAAGGCAGACCTCCTGACCGCTGGCCGAGTCTCTCAGCACACTGGGCTGACTCTGTAAGAGGTGTTTGCACTCAAGAGAGGTTGAGCTTGAGGGCTGGGCTGTGGCTCGGTGGTAGAGCACTTGTCTGGCATGTATAAGGCCCTGGGTTCGATTCTCAGCACTGCATCTCAATCAGTAAAGTAAAGGTCCATTGACAACTACATTTTTTTTTTTAAAGTAGGTTGACCTTGAATATTTGAATTTTCTAAAATGCACTTGGTTGAATCTCCTGTCCCTGAACAATCCACAGTTTTAATGGAGAGTCTCCTCAGGTTATAAAAGCAGCCAGGCCCTTGGTTCAGTCGCCCGGCGCTGGGACTGAGCTGTTAAGGAAGTGGGCTGTTAAGGAAGGTCGCCTTCGCAGCTGTGGCCTCGGGTGGTGGGCCAGCAAACTCCTGGCTCCTACTCTTAGCTGAGACTGAGGCACTGGGCCCCTCAGACAGGTCCTCCCACTGCCCACAGTCCGAGTGGTGGCCAAGGCCTCCAGGAGCCTCCGCGTGGGCCGGGGTGGGGGCGGTGAGTGGTTTTCTGGCGAGGTTTGAGCCATGCGCTGAATGTGATTGGAGGCTTTCCTTTGGAGACCAGTGTCTCTCTGCAGGAAGACAGGACCCACATCCCTAGTAACCCTGTCCCAGGACTCACCACGCACGGCCCAGGCCAGTCCTCCATGCCAGTCCCTTCTTAAGAAAACCGACAAAAGACCTGGGAGAAGGCCACAGCAGATGCCACAGGCCGTATCTTCCCATGTGTAAAAGACAATTCACCCTGAACACGGGGTGTGCCGGGGAGCCGGCCTGAGGCTCGGCCCCATCAGCAAGTGTGTGGCTTAGCCCACAGCTGAACCCGGGTGGATCCCAGCATCTGAGTCGCGATTGCCCGTGTGCTGAGGGCCCGTTCCCCTGGGCTTCTCTTTCCTGTGTTTTTATTGTCGGCGTGTGACGCCTGATTGACGATGGGTACAGCTCATCTTCCCTAGATGCAGAGTGCTGTGAGTGTTGACAGACGTCTACACACACCAGACCTCTGCCATGGTCAAGATAGGGAACACTTCCATTGCCCAGGGTCCCAGGCCCTTGCCCTCCTCTGGCCACCATGATGCAAGTCCATTCAGTTGTCTGCCCTCTCCAGAGGAAGGCACCGTGGGTCTGTGCTCAGTATCTGTGAAGGGGATCAAGGAGCACATGCCACCATCTGCATCAGAGGCCACTGGCCTCTGTCTGCACACGCCTCAGGGCCCGGTTAACTTGGAACTCCTGTCCTCCTAGTACCTGCTCTCTCCAGAGACCATCGAAGCCCTGCGGAAGCCCACCTTTGACGTCTGGCTGTGGGAGCCCAATGAGGTAGGTGAGGGCACCATGGGTGCCAGGGTCACTGGGGGAGGCTGCTCAGGACCGTGGACCCTCACCAGGGATGTCACAACTGCTTGTCCGCCTCTGTGCTTTCTCTTGTCTGCTCTTCTCTATAGAAGAAAACCCTGGGTCTCCAGGTTTTAGTTCAAACCAGTACTTCATAGGCTCAGGAGGGCAGGAGATGGGACGGCTGGGGGGGTGGGGGGCTTCCACACCTGGAGTCCTGACCCAGGCGGCTGCACGGCCACAGACACATGGACTCGTGGGATTCAGGGAAAGAGGAGTCACTTCTGGCAGCCAGCTGTTTCTTCAAAACTTCCCGTTGCCTGAGGAACACAAAAAAGGAGGCTTTTTTTTTTCATTTGAGTCTATTTCTCTAATTATATCAGATATGCCCTTCTCTGTCCACACCCCAAGAAAAGAAAGTCCCCTCTTCTTGGATGGACATCAGACCCAGCAATTTTCAACCCACCAAAATCTGAGGACTCTGTGGCTTGTCAGCAACACAGAAGCATGGGGACCCAGCCCGAGTGTGCTCACCTGCAGCCACAGAGGCTCCCGCAGTGAGACTTGGCACCGTTAGGATTCATGACTCAAGGTTACCAGTACCAGGCTCCCCACGCCAGTTCACCCAGGAGAGCAGCCCACAGATGCTGCAGAGCGTCAGCAGCCCACAGTCTTCACCCAGCACTCGGGCTGCAGGACTGGGGCAGAAATCACAGGAGCAGGATGGGTTGTAAGTGGGCAGCCCTCCTGGCCCTGAGCGTGGAGGCCCAGGGAGCGGAGGCAGAGCCTGAGGAGAGGTGGCACGCAACTCCCCTGAGGCTGGGCACAGCAAGTCCAAGGCAAGTCACCCCACAACAGAGCGCCTAGAGCGCCAGGACTCCTGCTCCAACAGGGGCCAGCACGGTTCTGGCCCTTCCTCTAGGAAAGCCACAGTCATGTGAGCTCAGCCCACTGCAGTGCCACAGAGCCAGGGCGAGGGATGGACAGCCTCACCGTCCCTTCGGCCACCTTCCTCCTCATGGAGCCTCTGAGCATAGAGCTGCCCGTGGCTGGAGGGGTGGAAGCTTCACCCCATGAGTTGAAGGGCTCATGCGCCCATGAGAAAGCCCACCGTCTTTGTCCTCCAATTTGCAGAGTGCTTACAGCCGTCCTCAGGGCTGCCAGGGGGCCAGTTCCTGCACCTTGACCAGCCGCTGTGTGGTGTCTCCACTGCCCATGGCTTTGGCCAGGGAAACTGGCAAGGAACTTCCAGAAGTATCCAGCTGCCTGCTGTGACAAACCAGGGGTTCCCAAAGCCTGGGGGCTTGGCCTCTGGTGAATCGGGCGATGCCGGGAATTTGTGAATAGCAAGAATGACAACCCGCGGGACAGACCGAGAGCCCGTGAAACTGCCTCTGGCCATCAATAAGCCTCACTCCCTTCCAGTGGGGCAGTCCTGCCACCCCGCAGCTGGGCACAGTGTCCCACCCATCCCAAACCAGACAGAACAGACCTCAGGCTGCCCTGGTGCCTCAGATCTGTCAGGGCTTCCTCCTGGGCTGGGACAGCAGGCATGGTGGCTCTGTCCTGCTGCTGGGCCCCTTATGATTCTGCCCCTCGCAGTCACGCAGCCCACTCAGCCCAGCACCACCACAGTGTCTGGGAGCTGCGCTCGCCCAGAGACAGGGTTCAGGCCTGCAAGCAGGGAGCAGATGGGCCGTCCCTGCACCATGTTGACACCAGATGGTTTGTCTGCCAGCTGCCTTTGTCTCCAGACTCTGATTTCACAGCAAACACTTCAGTTCTTCAGGGCTGATTTGAGCAGAGTCTGGGCTAGTGGGGCGGGAGCAAGGGGTCTGCAGGCCCCGTGGTCCTGAGGCTGACATCCAGGACGGTGGGAACACTGGCAGCTCTGGACAGCGAGGCCCCCGGCTGGGTGACCTGGGTAGTTGCTGTGCAGCAACCTGGAGCCAGCCCTCTGTAAGGGGCTCCTTAGGGGCCACCATCTCCCAAACCTGGCCCCTTCACATTAACCACACCTGTACAGTCCTATCAGGGAAGATGAGCCTGCGGATAGCACGCTTCAAGGACGTCCCAGGTGTGACATCTCAAGCTGCCATATGTGGCCCGTGTGTGCGGTAGTGTCCAGCCTTCCAAATGGACTGACTCTCCGTGATGCACAGAATTTGTTCCCTATCCTGAAGGCACTAAGAGATCAGCGTCACGCGAATCTGTCTTCCCTGCCACGCCCGCTTCTCCTGCACTGCTTACCACGCGAGAGTGCGTGTCAGTGGCACGCCTGCGTCCTTCGCTCAGATGGCCAAGGCCAAGTGCACACACTGGACAGCCTACACTATGGGAACTTACTGTCTCACATTCTGGAGGCTGAAGTTGGCCAAGGTCAAGGTGCCTCCAGGCGGGTTCCTCCTGTGGCTCATAGATGGCATCTTCCTGCAGGGCGGTCCGCAGTGTGTGTCTGCATCCCGATTTCACAAGGACGGGTCGTGGTGGATCAGGGCCACCTCAGTGACCTGTTGCCCTCCCACCTCTGTAAAGGCCCTGTCTCCTCATGTGGTCAGGCCGGCTGTCAGGCTTTGACGTGCCTGGTGGACACAATTCAGCCCCGGATGTGACCTTCCCACATGGTGCACCCAGGGGAGAAGCGTGCTGGGCTCCAGCAGGGACAGCCACTGCCGCGTGCAAGCACCAAGCCATGGGTGGACAGACAGAGGCAGGCGCCGTCACTGGGTCCTGCCACATGCCCTCGGGAGCTGCCTCGGTATCCCCATTCTGCAGATCTCCATCTCCCTGGGCTCTGCTCCGAGACCTGCTTTCCCCAGGAAACAGCCGGCTCTTGTCGAGCTCCCTGATTTAGAATCGCCTGTCTCTTCCTCCCTGGCTTAATGAACTCCAGGACAACAGGGCTAAACAAACCGTTTCACCTTGAACAGGGGTCTGTAGACAGCAGAGTTCCCTGAAATCACCTTTAGGAGGAGCCCTTGCCCCAGCGGGGCCCACACTGCAGACTCTGTGATTAGGACATTAGAAGACGTCCCTGGTCCCATTATGCTCCTCAAAGGAGCATAATTTAGCACTTTTTATATGTAAACCATCAAACTCCTTTGATCCCTGAGCCACAGTCAAGTGAAGGGCTTCCGCTCCAGGAGGTGCCGGTCCCCAGGTGTGCACTGGGTGAACTGCACTAAACTATGCTATTGACCTGCGTGCTTTCCAGTGTAGGTGTTAATAAAGTGATTTCTGTAGTCGTTGGGAGTGGGGGACCCCCACCCAGCCGCTGTTCCTTCTTGTGTGAACCTCAATAGCTTCTGCACTGGCTTCCCCAATCCAGGAGACCTGTCTGTGCTCCCAGACCCCACACCCCACTTGGGTGATCCTGGAGGCACACCCACTGATCAGGACCCACTCTGAGGATAAGAGCTCACTCTCCCTGGGACAGGCCTGGTCACACCACTGGGTCACCCTGGTGGCATTTCCCAGGACAGTGCAGGCAGCTGGAGTGGGCAGCTGGCCTCCCTTCTCCCAGTGCTGACCGCCTGGCCCTTTGCCCACAGATGCTGAGCTGCTTGGAGCACATGTACCATGATCTCGGCCTGGTGAGGGACTTCAGCATCAACCCCATCACGCTCAGGCGGTGGTTGGTAAGTGTCCCGTCCACTCTGTCCTCAGGCAGACCCTCCAGCCACACTGGAGTGGGGGCTGCACACCTCCCGGGGGACTGCTACCAAGGGAGGCGTCATTTCTGTGCAAGTTCTGCAAGGACTTTAGGGCATTGGGCCCATCTCTGTCCTCCCACCTGCCCTGGGCCCCCCAAGCTCCCGCTTGGAGGAGCAAAGAAATAGCTGAAATCAGAGAGTCAGAGAGGCAAGTGAGGTGGGATGGGCTCCGGCAGAGCGTGTGTGTGTGCGTGTGTGTGCGTGTGTGTGTGTGTGTGTGTGTGTAAAAAGTTAGACAATTGCTCAAAACTGAGCATTAAAGACCTGTGGGATGGTGAGGGGACTTAGTGCCCCTCATGTACTGTCCCCTGCCCGCACCCAACTTTGCTTCCCAGCAAGGCTTATCACACACCCCCGTGGACACCTCTGTCCATGCCCCAGCGAGCCAGGGCAGGGCCCATGGACGTTCTCAGGCTCCAAGGGCCCCTGGTTTCTACAGCAGCAAATGCAGGAGCGCTCTGGCCTCGATTCGGGTGGAGCACCCCTGGTCCTCCTTGGGGCCCTCTGGGGGCAGGGTGGGCAGGGTGGGCAGGCCAGGCACAGGGCGGCCCTGACTCTCTGGCCTCCGCAGCTCTGTGTGCACGACAACTACAGAAACAACCCGTTCCATAACTTCCGGCACTGCTTCTGCGTGACCCAGATGATGTACAGCATGATCTGCCTCTGTGGGCTCCAGGTGCGTCCCCCCACGGCCACCCAGCTGTCTCCCAGCAGGGGAGCAGCAGCACCATCCCCAGAGACAGCCACAGGCCTGGGGTCCCAGCTGTTCCACCTGTGTGAGGCCACTCCCAGGATCGAAAGTCGCTGGGTCCCACCCCCCCCCCCCCCCCAGCCAGGGTCTGGGTCCTCCCTCCCCCGGCCTAGGGGCTCATATTGGCTGGAGGGCAGCGTGTCCTGCCTGTCACTGTCTCCCACCACCCCACCCCTCCTCGGCCAGCCCTGCTCCCTGTGAAAAGGGCAGAAACTAAACGCTGTCCCTCATCCAGGAAAAGTTTCCCCAAGTGGATATCATGGTCCTGATGACAGCGGCCGTCTGCCACGACCTGGATCACCCAGGGTACAACAACACGTGTGTACAGGTTTCTTTCTCCTTTTCTCTTAAACATGCCCCTGGCTATCAGGGAACCTCCAGCCTGACCCCCAGACGGTTCCTAGCCGGGGATGTGGAGGAAGGCCCCCCAGCCTCCCCACCTTGTCCAGGGCCCTGGGCCTCCCCTGAGGGGAGCCTTCAGAGTCACCAGCAGAGGAGGGTGGCCACTCCCAGAGCCCTGCATGCAGGCCCCTCGCCTCCCCCTTCAGGAGCACAGGAGCAGGCCAAGGGCAAGGGCAGAAGGGAGCCCGAGAAGGGCTGGGAAGAGGGGCAGAGGTGGCCCAGGGTGGGGCTGTGGGGCCAGGAGGATGGGCAGAGCCCTGAGTCCCTCCTGCCGCGGGGCAGAGTGCTGCCCACACAGCCAGCAGGGCCCAGCATGTGGCAGAGGCCTGCGTTCACGGTGACATGTGGGTCCTTCCTCATGAACCTGTGTGTCTGTGCAATGACACTAAGTGTCCTGAGAGCCATGCCGCCAGGACCACAGTGGATTCCAGGGTGTGGATTCCAGGGTGTGGCCATCTTGCTCCTCAAAGGAGGCTGGTCTCCAGGCAGCCACCGGTTCCCTTCGTGCTGGCACAGGCCAGCGGGGAGGGCCGACCCTCCGCATCTGACCCAGAACGCAGCTGGTCCCTCTCCCACACCTGCCTTCGCACAGGCTGACGACTGACCGTTTTTGCCACAATGCTTGAGGCTCTCTGCCAGGGAGAAGCCCGAGCTCGTGGGTGGGACCTGGCCGGTGGGGTTTTTAAAACGTGGGTTACCCAGTTACGGGAGCAGCTGGGAGCCAGGGGCGCTGACAGAGTGGGCTCCTGGCAAGGCAGACGGCACCCCCTCCAGGCCGTGTCGCCTCCCGCAGGCCACTTGCACCTGAGCTCCTCTGCTCTGCCCTCGCACCCCAGGTACCAGATCAATGCCCGCACAGAGCTGGCCGTCCGCTACAATGACATCTCGCCCCTGGAGAACCACCACTGTGCCGTGGCCTTCCAGATCCTGGCCCAGCCCGAGTGCAACATTTTCTCCAACGTGCCTGCAGACGGGTTCAAGCAGATCAGACAGGTGCGTGGGCCAGGGTCCTCTGCGTGCAGGGAGGCTGTGGGGACAGCAGAACCCTACTGTCCATGGCTGGAGGCCCCAGAGAGTCCTGGTCACAGCAAAGCCACCTGGGACTCTGGGAACCTGCCCTCCTTCCCTGCCTTCTCCGGGACCCCGAATGGAGAGGGGACCCATGCTGTGGGCACCTGATGTCCACTGGCCTGCATATCACAGCCACTCAATTCAACCCCCACCAGCTCTTTGAGATGAGCCCTGTGTCCATCTTGTAGTTCAGGACACTGAGGCTTAGACAGCTTGGATCCCTTGCCCAAGGGGGTGCACTCCATGGACAGGCACGTCTGCTCCAACCTGCTGAGCTGACCCCTGCGCCCATAGCTCCAGCTGGGTCATCTGACCATGGCATAGTCAGCCCCACTGCCACCGGCACAAGAAGACCATCTCACCCAGCAGCCCCTGCCCGGGCACCCAGAGAGATGGCCTCCTCCCACAGGTCCCCATGGAGCCCTAATCCCCACAGGTCCCCATGGAGCTCCACTTGCTGACACTGCAGGGGAGGGACGATCCCAAAGTGAACCAGGGAGGGCCGGGTGGGCCCGATGACAGCCGGCCCAGAACGTGTGCCCGTGACTTTATCTGGAAAAAGGTCTTTGCAGAAGTACTTAAGTTCGTTTCCAGATGCCAGGGTGGAGGCCCAGCTGGGCCCTGAACCAACAAGTGTCCTCCTCAGGGACAGAGGAGGACAGGGCACACACAGGAGGCAGAGACCAGAGTGATGTGGACACCAGCCAGGGAAGGCCTAGGCCCACCAGCAGCTGGACAGGCAGGAGGAACCCTTGCAGAGCCTGGGAGACCCTGTCGACAGCTCTCTGGACTCCGGCCTCCAGTCGTGTGCTGCCCCGTGTGGGGGCTCTGCAGGCAGGCCAGGACACAGGCTCGGAGAGCAGCTGCTGCCCTCCATCCCACGGGACTTGCCCTCTGTCTCAGGCCCCTTACCCCGCAGCCAGCACAGCGGGGGAAGCACGGGCCCCTCACTCCAATAGAGAGCCGTGGCCTGCGCGCCACCAGGCCCCTCTGTCCACAGCCGAAGTGCAGAGCCGGCCCTGGGCTTGGTCAGGTCCCTGCTCACCACGACCCCTGGCCCCACATTCCCGTAGGCTGTCTGCCCTCTCCTCCGAGTTCGTGGACCAGCTGCAAGCTCGTGCCATGGTGGTGATGGCGGGCTCTGGCCGGCCTCCCCTTGAAGGGGCTAGCTGTGAGGGGACGCCCACCGTATGGCGGCTGCTGCCTGGGCCTGCCCAGCAGGGCTCCTCCAGTAAGAGGGCCTGGTGTTTGGCTGGGGGGCCTGCTAGGCAGCACGCAGAGAGGGCTCGCCTGACCCCACACAGGCTCTTCCCCCTGGCGGCCACCCAGGGACCTACAAGGACCGTCCTGCTTCAAAACCTTACTGGGGTGAAGACTTTCTCTAGGAGTAAAATCCAGTTGCTCCAATTAAAAAAAAAAAAAATCTTATCACTGAAGATTCTGAGGATAACTGGACAAATCCTTTAGAATAACAGATTTTTACATCGATATTACATAATTCAAAATGCAGGTGATGCCCCCTCCCAAATGTATATTTGATGTTGCCTATATTGATTGTATTTGATGCTGGTGGTTTTATTTTCTTGGAAAAGTAGAACACCCCACCTGGCAGAGAGGCTCTGTAAATGTCTGTGGGAGGGATGGAAGGATGGATGCATGATAGTGATTTTGACTTGTGTGACTTTTCCTGATCCAATATTTGGTTAGCAAAGTAGTCATTTTGTACATTTTCTGTTGCTGTAACAAAATACCATAGGTTAGGTGATTTATCCAGGGAAGAAGTTTCTTTCTGCTTACAGTTCTGGAGGCTGAAAGTCCGAGAGCGTGGCTCCTGCCTCTGCTCAGCTTCTGGTGGGGGCTGCTCGGCTGAGTGCTTCACCAGGACATGACAAGAGCTTAAAGGGCAAGTGAGCGTGAGAACTCACCACTCCTTGGACAGTTATCGCAGTCCCCAGAGGGTGGAGTCCTGGGACCCAGACTCCTCAAAGGCCCCAGCACCTCTCACACAGTTACCCTGGGGACCCCATTTCAACATGAGGTTTGGAGGGGCCAACCACGTTCAAACCACAGCAATAATGAAAACATGTATGTTAAAAAAACTCACTGCCTCCTCATTTACAAATTGGTTAAAAGGTTATTAAATATATTTTTATAATTTCCAAATAATGTGTACACATAGATGAGATGATAGAAAAAATACCCTTAGAAAATCAGTTCTCGACTTCAACAAGGTCTGGAAGGAACAGACCTATCTAGACGGCCAAACGTGGGGGAAAGGTCCTTGGCGGAAATTGCTAGATTTCACAAGTCCACCTGTGAGCCTGAGTCAGTCAGTGTCCCTTGGCCTGCCCGGTGGTGCATGGACCAGGCCTCACGGCAGAAGCCATGCCAACCTGAGCGGGGCCCCAGGCCTCCCACCAGCTGTGGCCTGGGCGAGTCCCTCTGCTCGTCACATTGCCGTCTCCGTGTCTGCAGAGTGAGGACAGTGGTTCTTAGACCACAGGGAACCACGTCGGGGGCTCAGTGACCGTCCAGGTGGTGCCCCTGCTAACACTTTCTTCTCTCGCGACTCAGGGGATGATCACGCTGATCTTGGCCACTGACATGGCACGGCACGCAGAGATTATGGATTCTTTCAAAGAAAAAATGGAGAACTTTGACTACAGCAACGAGGAGCACATGACCCTGGTGCGTGGTCTTGCTCTGCCCCCCAGGGACAGCCGCCCGGGATCACAGCAGCCAGCACAGGCAGGAGACCCAGACACTAAACCCATAGCCTGGCCTTGGGGTGAGGGCCCCATACCGCTGGCACCCAGGGTCACGACTTACAAGGCCAGCTGTGGCAGGGCTGCCCCCCCCACAAAGGGCCCTCCTGTGTGGCTAGGACATGTTTCCCCATGGGCCAGCAGGGCTGGGCTGGGTTCCGAGGCACCCCGCCCTCGGTGCTTTAAATGGGGGTTTCCTTCCTCGCCCTTTCTTGAAAGACACCTCCTCGTTCTCACACTCCCAGCCTCGGGTCTCTTCTTGGCACCCTGTCCATCGTAGCCTCCTGACAGGGCCTCCTCTCTTAGCCTCCTGACAAGGCCTCCTCTCTTAGCCTCCTGGCAGGGCCTCCTCTCTTTCTCCTGCCTTGACAACCAGGAAATGATGTTTGAACTTGCAGTTTACAGTTGGTATCACAAGTGTCAGTGTCGGATGCCGTGGGGGGGGCTGGCGCTCCCAGTCTCCTGGTGGGGGGAGCATGTCCCTCCAGGTGGCACAGCTGTTTCCCCTCACCTGGCCTCGGGGCCAGTTCCTACCTGGGAGGTCACCTTCCCATGCCGCAGCAGTGGTCTACACTCTGATTCTCTTTCAGCTGAAGATGATCTTGATCAAGTGCTGCGACATCTCTAACGAGGTGCGGCCCATGGAGGTGGCGGAGCCCTGGGTGGACTGTTTGTTAGAAGAGTATTTTATGCAGGTAAGAGACTCACGAGGCCCACGGCTCTTAGCGGCCTGCGACATGGGGTCGGGGTGTGCTGGCGTGCCCAGCCCCCACCCCCAGCCTGCAGAACGCCTTCCCAGCAGCAGCCGAACCAGGGGCCAGACTGGAGGGGCCTGAGGAGCCGAGGGGCTGAGGCCCACCTGTCACCACCGTGGAGCTGCCTTCAGGGGCAGCTCCTCAAGTGAACTGCAGAAAGGTCGAGAAGCGAGAGCCAGAGAGGCAGGGGGAGCCCAGGGAAGGGGAGCCTGGGCGGGTCACCTCATGAGGACAGCACAGGGTGCTGGGGACAGATGGCTGCACAGCCCTGCGATGCCCTGGCGAGGGCGGCCTGGGGCCAGGGCTCCACTGCCCCCCGGCCACGGCTCCGCACACCTGCTGAGGCGCCTCCCCCTCCCCGCACGCAGTGTTGGCCCCGCAGCTGCTTCCCCGCTTCCTATGTGGACAGTGACGCTCAGGGGTCCCAGGTCCCACAGCGCCTCTGTCTACCACACTCCCACAGAGCGACCGTGAGAAGTCAGAAGGCCTCCCTGTGGCCCCGTTCATGGACCGAGACAAAGTGACCAAAGCTACAGCCCAAATTGGGTTCATCGAGTTTGTCCTGATCCCGATGTTCGAAACGGTGACCAAGGTGAGTGGCCGTCACCACAGACTGATGGTGCACCAGTGAGAAATGCACACGTCTGTGCACATGAGCGCACACACACCTGCAAATGGGCATTCACACATTCATGCACGCACATCAGCGCACACACGTGCACGTGGCCACAGAGCACCGGCACCTCACCGTCTTGCTGTCATGGAGACGGCTGCTGGGGAGCCACTGCACCCTGCTGGGCCCAGCCGCCTTCCGGCTCTCTGGGTGCCAGCCTCCCCTGCACTGTGGGGTCCCACCTGCTGCCCACTGTCACCACTGGCCCAAAACCCAGCCTGCAGTTCTGGCGCCTGGCTCTCCTGACCCCCAGGCCTCACCCCTAAGGAAGCAACCAGAATTGGTGCCTATGGCCACTCCCCAAGGCCTCCACCTCGAGTCCCCCATGTCCAAGACAGAGTCATCTTCCCCACCCCCATCACCCACCCCCTGTTCTGCCAACCCTCTGGGCCGGGGTGTCTCTCAGGGCTGCCCTTCCTATTCCAGGACCACCAGCCAGGGGGCTTTTGGCAGCCGTCACCTGTGTGTGTCAGCACAGGAACTTTCCAGCCCGTTCCCCACTTGTGACTCCTGGGGGCAGGGGAAGGGAGAGGGCTTGGGGGGTCCCCCAAGGAGCAGCGGAAGGGGATGGCGCTGGAGCCTGGTAACAGTCCCAGGTACTGGGCTGACCACAGGCTTCCCACCACTGTCACCTAGATCTCCCTGAAGGCCCCCTCCCAGGAGGGCCAGGAGGGCCACCTGGGGGAAGTGGCTCCTGTGGGATCTGGGAAACTGCAGGCCTGACAGCTCTCTTCCTGAGCATGTACCATTGCCCAAGAGCGGTGGACAGACACAGGGCCGTCTCTCTCCACAGCTGTTCCCCGTGGTGAAGGAGATCATGCTACAGCCCCTCTGGGAATCCAGAGACCACTACGAGGAGCTGAAACAACTGGACGACGCCATGCAGGAGGTGAAGGCCACGCGAGGGCTCAGGCAGGCCACGTGGAGGGCTCAGGCAGGCCACGCGAGGGGTCAGGCAGGCCACACGGAGGG